TTTTTTTTTTTTTTTTTTTTTCCAGGGGGGCAGAGTGGCACTCCCCTGTTTCGGCTAAAGCGAGACAAACGTAAAAAAAAAACAGAAGCAAAAAAAGAAGCAAGCAAACGAACGAACGTACAAACGAACTAATTGGCCAACGAGCTGGCGGAGGAACAATTTCCCGTCCGCCCCGCAAACACTACTTAAGCGGCCTTCTTCAACAACAGCGACACCTTCGGCTTCACCTTGGCCTTGGCGAACTTGGGCATGTACTTGCTGCTCGAGGGAGTGTCCAGTGGCTGCGAGTAGGCACACGATGCAGACGCGTCCGCTACTGGCACTACTTGCGCTACGTCCGCTACATCCGCTACCTGCGAAACTTTCTCCCCCACCAAAGGCTTGTCAAAGAAGGACTCCAAGTTTTTAGGTATCAAAGCCACCTTCCCCTTAATAAAAAATGGCGTGTTATTAAGGGGCAGCGCTTGGTTGTTTTCCGAATTCAGTATGCTCTCTTGGAGTATTTCGAAATGATTAAAGTTACTCCATGTGGGAGGCAACTTCAAAGATTCGTTTACCTCCTTTAAGTCATTGTCCAACATGTCGAGCACGCAGTGTTGCTCTTCAATTAGCTTTTCCAATTCTCTGCAGGAAAAAAGCATGCGAATTATATCGTCCTTGTCGCTCTCTGATATGTTGGAGAAGTTTAAAGACAGGTCGAATATGTTTTCGTGTCTTTTGTTTTTTGGGAGGAACAGGTGAGCGATGTCGTCCAGGCGTTCTTTGTGCTTCTTCACAGGGGTGTTATGGTGAGCGGCGTTATGGTCACCGCGGCTACTCTGGCGGGGGTTATTGTGACTGTCGTTACTGTGATTGGGGTCTGTGTGGCCCCCCCCCCTGCGCAGGTACTCGTTCGCCCACTTGAGCCTCTCCCGCAGGTACCCTATTTTGTAATTCTTGTAAATATTGTCATAGTCGACAGAGTAGCTTTCTTCCTCCAAGTGGTTCTTCGCTCGGGAGTTCTTCCCCCGACGTGTGTTCTTTGTGAGGTTATTCTTCCCGCGTCTGCTTGCGTACTCCCCGTTTGCCTCGACCCACTCCTCGCTCTCTCCACATTCGGTGTTCCCCTCGTAATGGTACTCACTGTCCATCACATCCATGTACTTTGTGTCGTCATCGCAGCTGTCCGCACCCTCTTCGTCGCTGCAGTCGATGTAGTAGCCGCAACCCACTCCGTTTTCCGCCTCGTATTCTTCTTCTTCCTCCTCCTCGTCCTCCTCTTCCGCTTCTCTCTCCTGGATGACCCCCCGGCAGTTGTTCAGGCGGCGCTCAATTTCGTACCACTTGGAATCCCCAATGGAGCTATCTGCTCCCTTGTCCTGCCCCTTTCTGTTCTTCTTTGTCCTCTGTCTCCTCTCCTCCTCCATAGAAACATCCGCATTCAGATATTTCTCATCCTCACTGCTCCATTCGACTCCCGCCCTAAACTGCAACGGTTTCAAATGTCCAGCAGCGACCAGCGTATCGCTCTGCTTTCTTCCTCCTCCCTTGTCCTTCTTCTTCATCGTCCTCTTATTCTTTCTCTCCGTTTGCTCCCCATTTGTGGTGGGTTGTTCTCCGTACAGTTGGCCTGCCCCCGCTGCGGCTCCACCCGAGGGCTGCACCCACCCGGAGTCGCCATAAGTACACATGGGGACGTAGTACCACCCAGGAGGGAAAAACATGGAGCCACCAGTACCCATGCCACCCTGAAACACATCAGTGTTATAATAATACAAAGGCATGACGTTCGCATTGTGGAGACCTCCCGCAGGTGTAACAAAAGGGGGAAACACCCCAGCTGGTGTCCGTTCCCTTTGTGTGACCTGCTCCAAGCCCTTCTGTCCATCACCTTGTTGAGGTTTCTTATCGAGGTAATCGATTGAGCTTGGTGGCCCAGTAACTTTTCCCATGTAATTTCCGTCCATTCTTGAAAATGCATTTATGTAATGTGTATCCTGCATAAGGGTGCTTGTTTTGGAAGTGGATACGGGACCCACCGTTTGTCCACACGCTACATCAGACAGACCAACCATCACATTATTTCCGTTAACATTTGTTAGGGTATTATTTGTGTGCATATCTTCGTGTGCGTCTGCTGGTCTGTTTGTTTCTTCCCCATTGGGGGCATTCAGGGGGCTGCTAAGAGGTGGCCCTTTTGGGGGTATTTTTTTTTGAAGAAACCCTTTTGGAGGTAACCCCTTTTGCAGTAACCCCTTTTGAAGTAACCCTTTTGGAGGTAACCCCTTCGGAGGGGGGGGCTTGTGCGGAATGCTCTTTTGGGGGACCTCCTGCAACGTGCCTACTCCCCCTGTGGTCACTTCATTCGACATGTGCGCGCTATACTTGCGCATCACCTCGGCATTCTCCTCTTTGCCAAACGAATGGGATTCCTTTTCCATACCCTTCGCAAAGGAAGGTGGAGGGAAATTCTTCCCTGTGCCAACTCCCCCAGGGGATGAACCAGTCGTTTTTCCCCCTTTTGTCTTCATCGGCAGAGACGCATTCACGCCGTGACCTCGCAACTTATTAACAAGGTTTCCAGTGTCAATGTACTTGCTCAAGTGTAGCATCCTGCTGATTCGGCCAGTTGTTTCTTCTCTTCCATCAAGTGAGTCATTATCATTCGATTCGTTTCTTCTTAACTCTGTCTTTCCCCCTTCTTCTTCCTCCACCACCTTTCCTTTTCCTTCTACCCCCGGTTGGGCACTCCATCCCACATGGCTGGAGTTCTGTTCACTGTCCTCTCCTAACCCTTTGAGCTTCACCTCGGACATGTTCCATTTTGCCTTTGGTGCTTTGGGTGGCTTACCAAATTTTAGCATTCCCGGTTTGAACGACTTGATTGACTTGATTGACTTGATCGACTTGAATGCCCTCAGGCTGGGGTCTGCTCCTTCTAGAAGCACCTCCTCCGATTGAGCGGCGCCAAGTGCAGCCGCTTTACCCCCAAACAAGGTAACCTTGGGAGGCGGAGGAGGCATTACCTTTGCCTTGCCACCCATCGGCTTAAACTTCAACTCGGGGACTTTTATTTTCGGCTTCATTGCCTTAAATTTTTGTTCCATTGTCTTCGTTTTAGGGGGATCCTCACTGTCCTGTCCATTCTGTTCCTTCTCCACTGTATCCTCTGACTTTCCTTTCGGGAGCACCGCTGAGAGGGAGAGAAATTGATATGGGGGTAGGTGAAAACGATTGACATGGACACATTAAAAATGTGTGTGTCCTGCATGCATATGGAGGGAATGTTTCACTTTTCGGGTACCTGGTAACTTTCCCGTGTGTTTCAGGAGGAAAGAAGGTTTGACGAAGGGCTTCACTGATTTGGGGAGAGGCGGTCCCCCCTTTTTGAGCAGCGGTGGGGGCAGCTTCGCGCTCATCTGGGGCAGCGTGTCCGCGCTTGTAACAGCGGTGGCGAAATCGGAGCTGGTGAAGTGGCGTCCTCCCCTTCTCCTTAGCGTCAAAAATGTGTTTCGTGGTTTCCCGCACTGGGCCCTCCAACAAGGGGGGGGGACGGTAAACAAAGGGTGAAAATGTAGCTGGTGAAAATACAGTCGGTGAAAATTTAGCCGGTGAAGATGTATCAGGTGAAGATGTAACCGGTGACAGAGAAACCTCTACGGGGGGGGCCAAGTGCAGACAAGGAAGTCGCGTGCACACCAGGGGGCGCGCGCCACAAGGTGTTGTTAAACGTGGTGGAAAAAAAAAAAAAAATTGCTCTATTTCTATTGACACATGGCCTATAGTACACACCTACATCAGGACAAGGAAAAACGCGCATGCGGGAAAAGGCGACTTTGTTTCAAATTTTACATTTATGTCACCATTCCCATTTCACTTCCCGTGTGTGCAAAACAACCCCGCAGCACAAGACAAAAAAAACAAATTAAAACGTCCGCATTGGACTCACCACACAGCTAAAAAAAAAATGAAAGTGTTATTTCCAGTTCAGAAAAAAAAAAAAAAAAAAAAAAAAAA